TCACGTCCTTCCCGGGCATACGCTCTTTAGAGTGCATGGACTTCTTTATTCATTCTTGCAGGCTATGACAAGTGGAAAATGAAACAGGTGGGTGTGGACGATGCCATTTCCTGGCTCCTCTGTGAGAACAACTGTGAGTCATGCCCCATTCTGTCCAATTTCGATTCCCTGCTTTCGAAGTAATGAGCTGAAGTGAAGTCCTAGTACTTCATTCGTCCTTGTCTCTTGAGCAACCTGGAAGCACAGTCAAATTCTCGTATTTCGAAATTTCCCAAATTTCAACTGGATTTGCATCTATCAGTCTATCAGTTGCTAGAATCTATATTCTGGCCTGTAACTGCATTCTAGTTGATTCTTGTTGGGAACATTGGCAAAAATTATGAATAAAAAAGATTTTTGGGGGGATAATGAATGAGGCAAGGAGAAATGTTCCTAATAACCTGTGAACCTGATGCCCATACGGTTCCTAATTCCGTTTCTCCTTTTTTTTCCGCGCCACATGTACGAGGTATTTCAGAACATCAGCATTTTGAAGAGGTAGAATGTTTCCACAGATTGGTTATAAGGGTGTATTCTGTTAAAATTAACATTAAGAGGAAGAGTAGATTTGCTTTATTTCTCATTCTTTGGTCTGTGGGAAGCAACATTTTTCATTAAAAAAAAATATGCTGAGAATAAATAATGGAAAAAAAGCTGAAACCTTATTTGCAAGAAAGGTTAAAATACAAATGAAAAAGGAAGAATGACAGGCGATGCAATCGCAGTGAACATGAGCCATGAAAAAGAAAGAAGTAATTTTCGGACAATGACTCCTTTGGCTTTTTTGACATCTACTGATGATGATGAAAGTTTCAAGAACGTTGGCTACACCAATTGCTTCTCTGATCTTTGAATCGAGAATCAAGAATTCATGAGAACTTGAGGCAGTGGTTGAAAATATGGTACCATGATGGGAATGAGAATGATGAAAAAGAGAGAGAAGTGACCTAAATTTGGGAAATATCGTAGTCGTAGTCGATGATAATGGTTCATCTATTATTATCAAATTATTATTGCGGTATTTATCAGGTATTGCTTTCACCTGACTTGCTAGATAGTGACATTTTATCAAATGGGAGATGATACACTATCTCTATAAAGTAGTGTGAAAACGTTTTTCAATGGGTTTCCCCTCTCTCAATCCCCTCCCTCCCCTCTCAAATGGACTCACTAATGTCAGGTCTGTATTCATATGGACATACACTGTAAAAAATTTTTCCCGCCGGGAACTCCTGAGAGCACGTAATGGAACACCTGGAGGCGTTTTTTTACCATGTTAAAGTGTTCCCGATTCCCGGTATGTGCTCTCCAATGCGTTCATGTGTGCAAGGAGGTGCTCCATGAATGTGTTCTCATCTGAAGGACAAGTTTAGGAACACTTGGGGTCGGAAGGCAGGACGCCTGGGAACACTTGGGGTCGGAAGGCAGGAC